AGCAAAATAAGCAACAATACCGGTAGGGCTCTAGCCAGTTTAGCTCAGTGGATAGAGTGTCGATCTGCAGACTGAAGGGTCCTCTGTTCGATTTTGGTCAAGGGCACGTACCTCAGTTGCTGGCTATTCCCTGGCCCAGGCCCTGGTCTGGGCACATGCAGGAGTCAACCAATTGATGTGTTTCTCTAGCAGCGATGTTTCCCTCTGTCTTTCTCTCTCTTTTCCACTCTCTAAAAATCAATGGAAAAATATCCTCGGTTGAGGATTTAAAAAAAAAAAAAAAAAAAAAAAAAACTTGCCGAAACCGGTTTGGCTCAGTGGATAGAGCGTTGGCCTGCGGACTGAAAGGTCCCAGGTTCGATTCCGGTCAAGGGCATGTACCTGGGTTGCGGGCACATCCCCAGTGGGAGGTGTGCAGGAGGCAGCTGATCGATGTTTCTCTCTCATCGATGTTTCTAACTCTCTATCTCTCTCCCTTCCTCTCTGTAAAAAATCAATAAAATATATTTAAAAAAAAAAAAAAAAACGAACAGAAGGAACTAGTGTTTACTCTAACCTTTGCTATATAATACTTCTTAAATGATAGCACTCATTCAACAAATATTGTTGAGACCTAGACTGTGGAGTCGAATAAAAAGTCTAGAAACAAACCTATACATAGGCAGTCAACTGATTTATGATATAGCTAACATTGAAGTACAGTGGAGGGAAGGTGAGCTTTTTAATAAATTGCAATTGTGTGGCTGTATGGAAAAAACAAATGTGAATCTCTACCTTGTACCAGATACAAATAATTGATTCAATATGGATAAGAGAACTAAATATAAAAGGCAAAATAATGAAGCTCTTTGAAGAAAACAGATTATCTTCATGACTTTATCTTAAACAAGTCAAACATTTCTTAAATAGGCAAAGATTTCTAAAACAGGAAAAAATAAAGATCAAACCATAGAGGGGAAATTGACAATTGAGTCCATGAAGAGAAGAAAGTAAAAAGGTAAGCCACCAGTGAAAGAAGATATTTGCAACACATATATGCAGTAAAGGACTTCATCCAGAATACATTAAAAACTCCTACAAATCCATACAAATAAAGTCAGTCAACCCAATAGAAAAATAGGCAAAAGACTTGAACAGGCCCTTTACCTAAAGAGCTGTTCAGATGACCAATAGACATATGAAAAGGTGTTCATCAGGAAAATGCATAATAAAACCATGAGACACTGCGCACAAGAATAACAAATTAAATAGGCTAACAATACCAAGTGTTGGCATAGCTGTAGGAAACTGGTGAGAGTATAAATTGGTTTAAACACTTTGAAATACTGTTTGGGAGTCAGTACCTTCTAAAGCAGTGGTTCTCAACCTTCTGGCCCTTTAAATACAGTTCCTCATGTTGTGACCCAACCATAAAATTATTTTCGTTGCTACTTCATAACTGTAATGTTGCTACTGTTATGAATCGTAATGTAAATATCTGATATGCAGGATGGTCTTAGGCGACCCCTGTGAAAGGGTCGTTCAACTGCCAAAGGGGTCGTGACCCACAGGTTGAGAACCGCTGCTCTAAAGCTTCACATATGTATATGCCCTGTGACCCAGCATACCAAATGACATGTAAAGAAGTATGTTCATAGCAGCACTCTTCAATATAACCCCAGCCTGGAAATAATCCAAATGTTCATCAAGAGTAGCATGGATAAGTAAATTGTAATGTATTCATTGTATGCAGCAGTGTTTTCTTAACCTAACTGTGACAAAGGACTAGATTTCCCCCCTAACTTTCAGAATGAAACTCTTGTATAATATATTACACACAATGTCAAACTGCTCAGAAATTTATAAATGCTCACATGCACCTTTTGTACGTACTCATGGCCTTTCAGATCAGTGGCAAACGTTGTAGACAAGCAGTGGTTCACAAACTGCACTGCAAGTAGCACTGCTCTCAAGCAGTGAACTGGACAGCTTCTACCTACAACGCAACAGCATGGATGGATTTCACAACCAGATACAAAGGAATCTATATTTTATGATTCCATTCATATAAGGTTTAGTGACAACAAAACTAAACCTGTGATGTGGGACATTAGGATTACCTTTGAGTAGTGGAGGAATATCATTGGAAGGAGCCAAGAGGGAATTCTGGTTTTCTTAATCTTAGCATTGTTAATTATATGAATGTGCTCATTTTGTGAAACTGATCTAGATGTACATTTATAATTTAGGCACATTTTTTTTACCATTTATATTAAAAATAATTGAGCCCTGGCCAAATAGCTCAGTTGGTTAGAACGTCAACCCAATACGCCAAGGTTGTGGGTTTGATCCCCAGTCAGGGCACATACAAGAATGCATAAATGAATGCATAAATAAGTGGAACAACAAATTGATGTTTCTCTCTCTCCTTTCCTCTCTCTCAAAATCACTAAATTTTAAAAATCGATTGAACACCTATTATATGCATGCCCTCTAAACTTGTGAAGGTAATAGGTTAGTGGAGAAGACCATGTATATGCAAGTATATAATCATGTGGAATTACAAATGATGATTTCATGAAAAAAATTCTAACAAGATGTAGTGATAGAAAATAATGACGGGAAGAATCTACTTTAGATAAGGTGGTCAAAGAAGGGTCTTCTCTAAGAAGATTTCAGTTGAGACCTAGAGTCTCAAAAGGAATCCGATGCCAAGAGTGGAGGCAACAGTCAGGGACATCAGTGGTTGTTTTGAGTAGAGAAATGGGATTTAGTGGATTTATTATAAAAGAGGGCATGGCAGATACAGGGTACAACTTGGAAATTAGTGTTATGAAAATTGGGATAGGAGGAAATGGGATAGAAGGAAGTAGGATCTGGGGTTTACAGTTGCAAATAATGGAAAAACCAAAAAGGATAGTTTTGCAAAAGGCCTGTGATACCTAGAATAAAGGAAAATTAGTTTAAAAGGAAGTGAATTCCCAGTTAATTTTCAAAACCAAGGAAAATGTGATTAAATTAACTAATAGATGAGTTTTGCATGCATTTCATTGTGCTTGGTGTAACTTGGGGTAAATGTATATTAACATATTAGAGAATTTCGACTCAAGCATTTGAAGATGGATGGCAAAAGGGACAGCATTCATTCCAACCCTGCCAGCCTTCATGTCTCTGGCATTCCACTGGTCCCTTTTCTCCTTTACTCTTCCTGGTTCCACCACCACACAGTTATTTCAGTATCACTCATTTCAGCTCTATCAATCTCACTTTTTGGTTTCCTTTCTCCCTCATTCTTGCTCCTCACCTTCAAATGTTTCATTGAAAGTATTGAGCACCTTCAGTTGGTTGAGCATTATCCCATACACCAAGAGGTCACCGTTTCGATTCCCATTTAGGGCACATGCCCGGGTTGCAGGCTGGATTCCCAGTAGGAGCGTGCAGGAGGTAGCTGATCGCTGTTTCTCTTTCATTGATGTTTCTCTCCCTCTCCCTTCCTCTCTCTCTAAAATCAATAAAAGCGTAAAAATAAAAAAAGGAAAGTACTGAGCACTTTCATGTATTTCATCTTCTTTAATTCTTTCATAACCCTAACAACCTCATGTTTTCGGAGGTGCATGTGGGGAAGCTTTGGCTCAAAGAAGCTATATGATTTGTCTTAAGGTCACAACCTAAACACCTGACAACAAGTGCAGTGCTTTTTCTATTATGCCACTGCATCTACCCACAATGGTGTTATGTTTAAAATATTGTTATCTGCTTTATGAGTAATGAAAGTGTGCCCTACTGCTTGTTAGATTTCATAAGAGATCATAAGAGATATTATTCCTAAAGGGCTGAGTTATATATCTGAATATAGGGTATATGTGTATAATATGTGAGCATATTCCTTTTAATCATTCATATATATATATATATATATATATATATATATACATATATATATATACTGAATTTTTTTATTTCAGTAGTTTTGAAGTAGACTTTCTGAAGTATAGTATATCTGGAATCGCTACCATAATTCTCACTAATTTTATGTCTTAATTACTAAAATTCTGGAAGAAGATAGATATGATCTTGATGTAGATAATTAAAGAAATTGTAGTGACCCAAGATCTCACTAAAAATAAGGTAGTAAACCAAGTGATTATTCTGAGCTTAGCTTATTTCCTACTGTCTTTAACACCACTACCAATGAGTAAACATTGGAAAAATAGATTAAACTTAGGTCACCTGTTTTTCATCACTTGCTGGTGACTCTGGGGAAACTTAGCAGCAAGATTTGGAGGAACTAGGAGATTAAGAAGATTCATTAAAATAAAGTTAGTAGATTATAGATTTTAATCCATTACTTTTGAAACTTAAGAGATATTTTTATTAAGGATGTACAACCCGTTCCTAAAATATCTGATAGCATTACATCTGTATGAACTTTTTCAATGACTTGTAACTGGAACAATATACTCTCAAACAAAAGAATCTAGACTTTTCTAGAAATGCAAAAGATCCCTAGTTGAATTGGTCTTAAGCTGAAACAGTGAGTGGGTAATGTATGGATGCTGATCCTGCCTCTCTTTGCCTGACATGTTCTAAGGCAGGAGTGGGGAACATCCGGCCCTTAGGCAGTATAATGCCCTCAAAATCATTTGGTCAGGCCCTGCCAAGGCATAGGGGTCAGTTAATTAAATATTTGATCAAATATAGCAGGCTAATTTTTAATTTGATAATTTTATATGGCACTTGAATGGCGTTATAAATATCCAAATAGCTGTTAGCAGAAAAAAGGTTCCCCACCCCTGCAAGGGAGCGGCTAGATCAACAACTACTGGTTTCAGCCATTTCTGGAGGTGGCTGTAGCTGTTGATGTGAGAATGACTATGCCCTCTTCATGTATGGGATAAGAATGACTGTTTTGAAGGGCAGATAGGCCATAATACACTCCCAGGGATGTAGTGATGTACCAGACTCCTTCATTAAGGTATTCAATCTCTAATTTTTCTTCCCCTCTTTTTTATGTGCCATAGAGTGATTCTCATCAGTTCCGTGTCATGGCAGCTGTCCTTCGCCATTGTTTACTAATTGTAGGTCCAACTGAAGACAAAACAGAAGAGCTGCACAGGTAGGTTATCTCCAGTTCTTATTGTTTTTATGCATCTAATTTTAGTTGTTATAAGCACAAGAAAGTAAAAATATCATAATAAATCAGGTAACTGGTAGGTTAGAAATCATTACTAGGCTCTAAGGAGCAATTTTCATTGTCCCCTTTGACTTATAAACTGAGCTCCAACAATAGAAGAGAATTTGGCATTTGTTGCATTCAACAAGAAAACCCAGAACAACTATAATAATAGCACACAGTTATTGAATAATGTGTGTGGCATTATGTTAAGTTCTTTATAAAGGTTAACTCCTTTTAATCATCATACCAGCCTTATGAGGTAGGTACTACTATTTTTTCTTCTCAATAGATGATGAAACAGGCATAGAAAGATAAGCAATTTCTCCAAGATCATATATATCCTTAACTAGAGGCCTGGTGCACGAAATTCATGCAAGAGTAGGCCTTCCTTTCCCCGGCTGCCAGCACCGGCTTCCCTCTGGCACCCAGGACCCGGGCTTCCCTCGCAGCCCAGCTTCGTCCAGAAGGATATCCGGTCTAATTAGCATATTATGCTTTTATTATTATAGATAAGTGAAAGAGCTTGGATTTGAACCCTGCTTTTAATTACTACACTTAAACTAATATGCTCACTAATTTCATTGTATTTACCAAAAAATATATCTTAAGCAATATAAATTATATTTTATAAACTGTAAGAATTGGATCTTGCCTGGCTGGCGTGGCTCAGTGGTTGAGCGTCTACCTATGAACCAGGAGGTCACAGTTCGATTCCCAGTCAGGGCACATGCATGCCCAGATTGCGGGCTCGATCCCTAGTGTGGGGCATGCAGGAGGCAACCGATCAGTGACTCTCATCATTGATGTTTCTATCTCTCCCTTTCCCTTCCTCTCTGAAATCAATATATAAATATAAATATATATATATATATATATATATATATAGAGAGAGAGAGAGAGAGAGAGAGAGAATTGGATCTGTCTCAAGTAATCCTATCTAATAATAGACAAACATGGTAATTTACCGTACCTTTGCTACACCTCCCATTGGCTAATCAGCACAATATGCAAATTAACCGCCAACAAAGATGGCGGCTAATTTGCATACTGCAGGCAGGGCTGGACAGCACCATCCCACCTACCCTGCCGCCATCCAGGCCTGCTATTTGCCACCTGGGGCGGTGGGGTAGGACAGCGCCATCCCGCCTGCCCTGCCCCCATCCGGGCCTGCTATCTGCGACCCGGGGCGGTGAGCGTCCGTGTGCAACCCAACCCGGGGCAGCCGGGCGGTGCAGCGAAGGCTTGAAGGAGGCTCCGGCTGGAGCAGCAAAGGTTTGAAGGCGGCTCTGGCCGAAGCGAAGGCCTGGGTCCCAGGTGCCAGAGGAAAACCGGTGCCGGCAGCCAGGGGAAGGGAAGGCCTATTGCACGAATCTTTTCGTGCAACAGGCCTCTAGTAATATATAAAAAATAGTTAATATAAAGTTTTATGACTTGCCTGTTAGAGTATTAATGGACTACTGTTGAAATTTATCATTCTCTGAGAACAACTGAATAATATTAATGCATTTTTCTAGTACTCTTTCTGTTCAAGATCAGATTTGCAGTAACAAGACTTCTGACTTTAACATGAAACTGCTCATGGTGCTTACTAAGAATGCAGTGGCCTTTTAAACAATTTAAATAAATTTAAATCTGCAAAAAAGGAACTTTGGCATTACCTCTGCTTTACAAATAAATTTGAAAGTTGGGTTCTTAATAGTAGAAATTGCCTTTGAACAGTTATAATATTCTGTTTTCCAAACTATGGCTTAAATAAAATGAAACATATTCTTGTTATTTTTTCAAGCAAATCCACTTTTTTTTGTTACAATTGGCAATTTACCATTTGATATTGTAATGAGTTTTTTGGTAGGTTATCTTTATGTACTGTATCCCGCAAGTATGCAAAAGATAGTGTCTTTGTTACAATTGAAAAGTGTAATTTTTTATCCAGCTACAGATCAAAAGTTCCTTCAATTTTCTTGAGACTGTGCCTTTAAAAAAATAATCAGATAACTGCAATAAATCATATTCTCTAAAAAGATTTTATTGAGCATTTTTCTTAACGTAATTTTTTTTATAATCAAGAGGCATTAGAAATGTAGATACTAAAACTAAAAGAAAATGGGGTTTATAAGCCCAGGAGTAAATTGATTTTTTTTTAAATCAGATATCATGAGTTAAAGAACATTCATAGAAAGATGTGAGAACATTAAATACAAAGTGTATTAAAAGTCATTGTTACACTAACCACAAAAACATTGCTAAGGATTTCTCTGAAGAATGAATTTAATATTTGAACATAGTACCTGGTATCCATCAAAATAGAGCAAAACTATAGAGTTTTTTTAAATCATATTTTTTAAAAAGTAATCAGATTTCTTTATTTTCCTTCCTGAGAGTTGCTTTAAATATTATTTTTCTTAATTTAAAATATATTTTTCTTCAAATTTGCTTTTATCTTAAAAGTTGCTTTGGTAAACTATCTATAAGCTACACTGTAAATAAAAAGGGCTTTCCCTAGAGCAGGGGAGGGGGAACTTTTTTTTTCTGCCAAGGGCCATTTGGATATTTATAACATCATTCAAGGGCCATACAACATTATCAACTTAAAAATTAGCCAGCTATATTTGGTCAAACATTTAACTGACCCCTAATGCCTTGGCAGGGCCAGACCAGATGATTTTGAGGGCCTTAAACTGCCTAAGAGCCTGTTGTTCCCCACCCCTACCCTAGAGCCAGTATAGAATTTACCAGTATAGAATCCTCAGAGGCTTTCCTGGAAGATTGAGGTTGCTGCTGACTTGGCAGTTTGTCTGGAGTGGCCCTGCATATCCCTTAATCAGAATTTAAAGTGATTATTCTAGCAGTAATGAATCTAGGCTAATTCACTTAATACAGGAAAACTGCATCAACTTCAAAGGGCTATTCTAGGAGGCTTACTAGAGTTGTAATGTCTACTAAATTCTGCTCATTTGTAGTGATCCTGAAAACATTTTGTGTGTGTGTATAAGACATAAGTTTAAGGGGAAAAAATACTGTTTCAAAGTAACATCTCACTCTGTTTTTAAAGTTATTTTCTAAGGGTGTGTTGTTTTTTTGACACTGATTTGTTTTAAGGTAAAATGTAATGAAATAGGTAAACCTGGATGGCATAGTGTATGGTTATATATTACTAGAGGCCCGGTGCACAAAAATTTGTGCACTCAGGGGGGAGGGGGGTCCCTCAGCCCATCCTGTGCCCTCTCGCAGTCTGGGACCCCTCAGGAGATAATGACCTGCTGGCTTAGGCCTGCTCCCGGGTGGCAGAGGGCAGGCCCAATCCCTAGGTGCAGCCCCTGGTCGGGCTCAGAGCAGGGCCGATTGGGGAGTTGGGGCACTGCCCCCTGTCATGCACAGAGCAGGGCGGATCGGGAGGTTGCGATGCCACCCCTAGTCACGCTCAGGGTACAGCCGATTGGGGGGTTGGGGCACCGCCCCCTGTCACACTCAAGGCAGGATCCATAGGGAAGTTGCGGCGCCACCCCCTGTCACACACAGAGCAGGGCCAATCAGGGGGTTGGGGCGTTGCCCCCTGTCATGCACAGAGCAGGGCCCATCAGGGGGTTGGGGAGCTCCCCCCTGTCACGCACAGAGCAGGGCCCATCAGGGGGTTGAGGAGCTCCCCCCTGTCACTCACAGAGTAGGGCCGATAGGGGAGTTGGGGCACCGCCCCCTGTCACACACAGCAGGGTGGATCAGGGGGTTGGGGCACCGCCCTCTATCACCCACAGAGCAGGGCCGATCAGGGGGTTGGGGCGCCGCCACTGTCACACTCAAGGGCAGGGCCGATGGGGAGGTTATGGCTCTACCCCGTCACACACAGAGCAGGGCCCGTGGGGGGGGGGAGTTGGGGCGCTGCACCCTGTCACCCACAGAGCAGGGCCGATCAGGGGGTTGGGGCGCTGCACCCTGTCACACACAGAGCCGCAGGGCGATCAGGGGGTTGGGGAGCTCCCCCCTATCAGGCACAGAGCAGGGCGATCAGGGGGTTGGGGGGCCTTCCCCTGTCAAGAACAGAGCAGGGGGGAAAGGGAGGTTGTGGGCCCGCCTCGGGCAACACAAGGCCGCAGGGGGATCAGGGGGGTTGGGGGGCTGCCCCCTCTCACCCTGAATGCCCCCTCCTCACGCTGATCCCGGTGCCGGGAAGGCCTTGCGGCTCCGCTGATCCCGGTGCCAGGAGGCATATTACCCTTTTACTATATAGAATAGAGGCCTGGTGCACGGGTGGGGGCTGGCTGGTTTGCCCTGAAGGGTGTCCTGGACCAGGGTGGGGGTCCCCACTGGGGTGCCTGGCCAGTCTGGCTGAGGGGCTGAGGGCTGTTTTCAGGCTGGTGGGTGACTGAAGCTCCCAACCGCTCCTTTTTTTCTTTGTCTTTTTTGTTCTGGGCCAGCTTTAGCTCTGAGGCCTCGGCTGCTGAAAGCAGGTTTCTGGCCTTTGTTTACCTTCTGTATTTGATACAATGTTGCGGTCCGGCTGGCTGAAGCCCGGCTGACTAAAGCAGGTTTCTGGGGTTTTGTTTAGCTTCTATATTTGCAACATAGTTGCTTAGAGTTGCAGCTGAGAGGCCGGCAAGTCAGGCGGGGAACGTTGGAGTCCGCAGTCACTGGAGCAAGGACGCCTCCCTGTTCGCTTCAGTGCATGGCTGCCAGCCGACATCTTGGCTGGCAGTTAATTTGCATATCGCCCTGATTAGCCAATGGGAAGGGTAGTGGCCGTATGGCTAATTACCATGTTTCTCTTTTATTAGATAGGATTATCACAACGCAGAGTACTAACCACTATACGATCACGGCCTAGGTAGGATTATCAAACTCAAAGGGTTACAATAATGATTAAATGAGAAATAAATAAAGAACTCTGTCCCTGGCACTGAGTAAGCTCTTAGTAACTGGGGGAGTTGTTGCACCCATCACCATGA